TTTTCACCTAAGAATAACTCATTAAAGGAATTGACAACCACCCCTTCATAAAAATACAGCACTCTATAGGCTTTATTAATATTGAAATTATTAATTTGTTTCATTGTATACTGCTTACTATTTTGAGATAAATCTGTGCGAATGTGAACCCTCCTGTTTGGAACAAAAATTTTGTGTATGTTGTTTTTAAAAATGACTCTGATGATCCATATTTATATACATTTGACAGTACATCATTGCCAGATTTCAAAAGCTAATCAGATGCCTTCCAGTGCTTGATGTTTTTAAATAATGAATGAGAACCACTGGATTATTTTTTCCATACACATGAGATGCCAAGAAAAACTCCTATATGTGATTCTTTTTTTTTCCCTCCTCACAGAAACTATGGCCTTCTAAGAAAAGGAAGCACATCTAGAATTGCTATTTTAAAAATTATCCTGATTTTTAAAGTGAATCTAATAATGGGAGTGTGGGGAGAGAGAATCCAGGCATTACTTTTGAAAGCACAGTACTGATGGTACTAATGTTGCCAACCTAAACATGAGGACATTGGTTTGTTAAGCTGTCTGTCTTTTCCAGGAGTCATCATAAAGAACCATCTACTGCTTTTACCTCGGAGGGTCTGCAGTTCAATTCAAGCTACAGTAACGTCAGTGCTGAGATAAATGTCCATTTATTAGGCTACTGCTTCAGAGTTTGACACATTTCTGGTGTCTTAAATCGAAAATAAATGTCCCATTCAAGAGGTTTTCAGGTGAAGGTGATGCCTAGTGAGAAGTTTTATAAGGCTGTGTCCAACTAAGTTTACCCTTCATTCACCCTTCATCTGTTTTCCAGAAGATTTGTCTCTTTTACATGGATATTTTAATCTTTGCCTCTATGCATCAGGGTTTGACTAACCTCACTGTGCTGTCACACTGCAGCATTGGCTGTGTTAACTTATATATGTATGTATCTACAATGGCCAGGCTCTGGAAATTCTCTACAGAGGTTTGCCACTCTTCCCTTCACAGTTTTCAACGACTCGTCAAATAATGTTGTTTGCATCATGTCCTCCCCCAGGTCACTGACTTAGAATGGTCCTTATCTACAAATCTCTCCTACATTTTCTTTCTATTACAATAAGCCCCTCTTTCATCAGTACTATCAGCAAAAGCTGCAGGATATTTTATCTGGCTGCAGTTCAGCTTCATGTGGGGGTGCTCACATGCACCCTGCGGTATTTTGTGCAGTTACGAGCAATTTATGGGATGTTTAAAAGTGCATACTTTACTTTACAGATTTAACTCTTTGCTTGAATCCAGTGTCTGATAAAACTCAGTTCAAGATGTCTGTAGAGACCAGAGTTTAAATCTTAAGTGGTGTTGACTGCCTCTACTCTGTCATCACCCCTGAAGGTTCTTGGCGGTTTTTGGGATGCAGCCCCAACATGTCTTACCTGCACTACAAAAGACCTTAAAAAATTCTCTCCAAACCGAGCACAGGCTTCCTGAGCAAGGGCCCAAAAGGGCAGGAGCCTCCTCCTTAAGCCTTTCTGGCATGACATCTGCTTGGTTTGGTGATCCAACCCACACCATTCTAAAGTTCTGTGTAGATTCTGGAACCAAACAAAAGAGAAGCTCTGTGGTAAAATGAATCATCGTGTTAAAAATATACAGGAAATACTGCATTTCTTCAGTATCTCTAAGAATTGTAAGTCAACAACTATATTTTGAAAATGAAAATGAAAGCTGGGTTCAAGAGTGTAATCCTACAGCTTGCATGAAAAAATACTTTTCCAGTTACTTGGAAAAAATGGAAGAGTAGATGGAGTCAGACTCAACTACAATGGCTGTGCTACTGGGATGCAGATGTATCTAAGAGGAAACAATTCCAGATGATAAAAGCATACTGTTGGTGCAGGAACAATTTTCACACCTGCCAGAAGACCCACTGTGTTTCTTGCACTAAGCACGGAATATTAAAAAATATACATATAAACATGCTTCCTTAGACCTTGAGATATACAGAGAACCTCTTGCTTTACTCAGGACTCAACTCCAAATCACTGCTTTAACAGTAAACCATTATTCAGAGGTAAGAGCATGAAAATGGATACACAGTGTCAAAACACGCTGAGGTTTATGCACCATTCTGGGTTTTGGTGGTGGGTTGTTTTCTTTTTTTTTTTTTTTTAATTTGAGCATGATTCAATAAATAAAACTTCACACATAGTGAGAATTCTCATGGCATAAGACAAATCTCCGGCTATGTAAACCTCAAGGAGCTCACTTACATTTCTTTTGTTAGGTCTACAACTTTCCATTTCTCTTCTTTCAGTTGTTATTGTTTTACCACTCTCTGTGTTCTACATCTGGGTTTACAAGATGCTGCTGACCACACAAACCAAATTTAATATCCTCTCTTTGGTTTCCTACCAAACCACAAGACCATCTATCCTATTTTTTTGTCTAATTTTTTGTGTCTTCAATTCTTTTTCTTTTATGTAATTTTTGATCTCATAAGAACAAGCCCAACTCCTTCTGTGGTGATGCACTAATGTAACTGAAACTCGGATTTGCCTCTTAGAAACAAACTCAGTTTCCTCTGTTGACACCAATAATACTTTTTCCAAAGACTTCCTCATTCTCCCACTATTGTTTTATGTTTCAGCAGAATATTACTCTAATCCAATCATTTTTCAACCAATCTAATACAGCCCCAAAGTGCATTAGCCAGCAGGCACTGGTAGACTGCACATCCATCAATTGACAGCTATAAAATCCTTGGATAATTAAATCCAGAGAAAGATCCAGAAAGGAAAGGGACAATTCATTTGTCTCCTACTTCTCCATCTGTTGCTGTTCACTCCATACAATTGAGGATCAGCTCCTTGGCCTTTCTTTTCCCATCCACCCAAAGCTGGAAGTGGCTTCCAGCCCTGGGGCAGAAGGAAACAGTGCTTTGAGAACTGCAGGTGACAAAAGGACGAGGAGGAGGTGTCTGATCCCCCTCCATTCCCCAGCCAGGGAGCGTCTCCAGAAGCTGCACCAACCCTACAGTACCTACAGAGGGCTTTGCATTACCGTTTCTGTTCTTTGGGAGGGCTATTTCCTATTTGTAAGTGGTAAATTTGTATTTGTTATAAATGTTTCCTATAGCATTTTCGACAGGATTCATTTCATTACGATATTCATCTAACTGAATGGGACTGGTTACGAAGCGTGCAGACCTTTTCCCTGCTGTACCAGCACCCCCCACTGTCCTTTTCTCCTGACACTGTCAGAGCCACCACACTGCAAGTGCTGCTTAACCACCACTCGTCAGCGAGTTGAAAAAGTAAAGTGAAAAAATGGAAGTTAGAGGTCCGTTTCTCCCTTTGGCTAGCTGCCAGCAGAGGAGTTGGAGCGGATTAGTGTTTGGGGTTTAGTTTTCCTGCTTTCAGGAGTGGCTGTGGAAGGATGCTTGAGGGAACTGCTTTGGTGGGGTGAAGCTAAAAGGTTTTGTTAGTTGCTCTGTGTGCATGAGACAGATGCTGTACCACATTTTTGTCAGTCTGAAATAAAATAGCCTTATTAATGGTGTGGACTCCCCCTTGCTGTCCAGAGGGCGCCTCAAACAATTACAGTGGAATGAGAATTCTGGGGAAAGAGGAAGAAAAAAGAGTCATGAGGCCCGCAAAGGACTCGGGCTGCCCATTCCACAGGTCTCTAAACCTAATTATCTTCTCCTTGGACAATGGCTAAGGTTTAGGGAGACCTCATTGTGATCTTCAGCACCCTTACGAGGGGCAGTGAAGGGGCAGCACTGATCTCAGCTCTGTGTGACCAGTGACAGGACCCAAGGGAACAGCTGGAGCTGTGTCAGGGCAGGCTCAGGTTGGATCTCAGGCCAAGGTTCTTCCCCCAGAGGGTGGTTGGCACTGCCCAGGCTCCCCAGGGCAGTGGGCACAGCCCCAAGGCTGCCAGAGCTCCAGGAGGGTTTGGACAACACTCCCAGGGACAGGGGGGGATTGTTGGGGTGTCTGTGCAGGGCCAGGAGCTGGACTGGACGATCCTTGTGGGTCCCTTCGCACTCAGGACATTCTGTGGTTCTGTGAGAAGGAAGGGGATGACGAGCACTCAGTCCTGAGGAAGGACACCTTGCTCTCGTGCAGGACGGCGAGCTGTATGCCATGGATTGTGTTCCTCGCCTTACACAAGGTACGAATTAATCCATACCCCTTCTACTTCCATGAAATCCCAAGCTACTGTCATACCTTAAAGGAATATTTCAGTGCACAAATACAGTGTCAGCAACACAGTACACAGTATCAGCCCATCTTTGCTTTTTAAAAGTAAGCTTAGAATAAAACCTTGATTACCTGCATAATTAATCCCCATTCACAGGAATTTGCATGCCTGAATAATTAAAGAATTAAGTTCTAAAAATGAAAAGCAAGCAAAGCCTGCATTTTTGTACTTGAAAAGCTTCAGCAGCAATCATGATAGTTCGCAGCACATAAATAATTCAAACTGAGCTTTCTCGTCTTTATTTTTTCTTCCTCGCAGAAATCCTCTTAGTGCTTCCTAATTAAATGAAAATATTTTATAAGCCATCACTTTGTGACATCACAAGAATATTTTAAACTGCAGATTAGACAAGCTGGATTTGCATTTTCAGTATTCGCAATCTGATATTGGGGCCGTTTAATGGAACCGCAAACCACCACAGAGCGGTGATAAAACAGGAGTGTGCTTTTGAAAGAAAAAGAATGGGGGGAAAAAATCCGCGTTGGGTGCCGGTCATCTGAGTTTAAGTCAACATTCAATTTCACTTGGCAACGGAGTTTACTCGACAGTCAGTTTCACTTGGCAACGTAGTGCCTTAAACCGCTGGGGCTGGAGCAAAACAATAACAAAACAACAACCAAACAAAAGCAATTCATAAAATGCTGACGCGGACGCCGCTCAGGTGTGCGGGGAGGGGCGGGCACCGTGCGGTGCCACAGGTGACTTTTCGCCCAAAATTTAACCTTTTTTACCACCACGGCGCCGTGAGGGCCGCGGGCCGGCAGGGGGCGCCCTGCGCCCGCCGTGCGGGGCTGGCCGAGGGGGAACCTTCTGGAAGGGCCCGGGGCCGGGCCGTGCCCGGGGGACACCGTGCCCACGGTGAGCGGCCGCGCCGTGCCCCGGAGCCCCGGGTGCCGTGTGGCTGCCGCGTCCCGGGTCAGCGCAGACGGCCGGGGGGAGCTCGATCGCTCCCGCCTTGGCCCGGAGCCCGGCCCGCCTCCATTTTCTGCGGGCTCCCCCCGCCGGCCGAGGGGCCGCGGGACCCGGGCTGGCGAGGCGCCCTGAGGGGCAGGACCCTCCGGCGCACAGACGTGTCTTCATGCCGGGCCCCGCTCCGCCGGCAGGGACCGGCGCCTTCGCTCGGAGGGCGCCGCCTGCGAACGCAGGTTGGAAGGAGTCGCGGATCTCCTCCCTTACTGTTTTTAATTGTGATATATTTTGTTAACTTTTGGGCTCTCTGGAAGCAGCGCTGTGCCTGCCCCTCTGGCAGCGCCCGGATTAATGCTTGTCCCGCTCGTGGCCGTGACCGAGCCCGGTGTAAGATGGCGAGGCTGCTGCGAGCCGTGCGGGCGGGGACCTGTGCGGGGACCTGGGCAGGGACTTGGGCAGGGACCTGTGCCGGCCCTTCTCCTCGGGCACTGCCCCAATCCCAGCAAAAACGCCCCCGAACGCCGGCACCCACGGCGCTGCCGCTCTGCCCTCTCCCTCACGGAGGGTATTTCAAAGACAAGGTTGCTGAAATCATACTGATCCTTTAAAAACGGCACCACCGGCTGTTTAAAAATACATGCATTGCCCCGTGTCACGATTTATAAGTGAGAGTTTATGACTATTTCTCCTGGAGTCTGCGCTTTTTATTTAAAAACATCACTCATTTAAAAATAATAATAATAATCAGCAACACGTGCACTGCCCTCGTGTCACGATTTTTAAATGACAGGCTATTGCTACTCCTCCTGAACTCTCCTTTTTTTTTTTTTTTAGCGTTCGTGAAGAGCAAGGTCAGTCCCGGGACTGAGAACTTGACTCGGGTGAGACGGTGGATTTAATTCCAGCAGTCAGCCCCGCGGCCGGGGCAGAGGGATAACCGGGGATGTACCACCGTAAAACAATCCCGAGGTAGGAGTGGCACAGTTGTATTTTATCACTGCGGTTTGTCACCGTGCTCAGTATCACCCGGGGATCGTTCTGGTTATTCCGTTTTACCGAGCACTGTCTAAACCAGACAAAAGGACAGAGCCCGGCGAGAAAAGCTGCTCTTGTTGCTGACTTTGCATTCCCTCGGGTCCCATTTGTTCCCTATATATTGAAAGATGCAGAGTTGTTTGGGTTTTTTAAAAATATGTATGAAAATATATATAAAAATACATATATTTTGTATAATATTTTTTATATATAAAATCAATGTCAATCAGAATATCTCAGTTCCGGGTTTAACCTTTATTAAACTGCTTTGGGAGGTTCTGTGTGGCCTAGTGCAGAGGGACGGGGTTGCTGCTTCGTGCAGAAAAGAGAAGAGACATTGCAGGGGGGGAAAAAACCCACAAAAAGAGATTCCTTCCGTTCCCTCCATGGTGGGAAATCGGAGCAGCAGCCGCGCCGCCGGGAGCCGGCAGTGCCGTGCCGTCCGCCCGTCCTGGGCTGGGATATTTGTTGTTGTTGTTGCATTTTCATTTTCGCTCTTTGCTTCCCTGAGCTCTCCACAGTGTTCTGGGGTTAGGGAATTCTTTAACGCTTGCCGTTGCTGATGGAAGGTGCGGCCCCGCTGCCGCAGCCCTGCCCGGGTCGCTGTCTGTGCCCTGCGCTCCGTGCGGGTCACACACGGCACGGCCGAGTCCTGGGCACGGGGGGGCTTTTTTATTGCCCCCCCTCGGAGCGAACATGCGCTGGGTTGGATGAAAGCGCCTGGCGGGTGCCGGGGCCGGCTCTGCTCCCCGCCGTGGTTCGGGTACCGGCCCGGGGGCCGAGCATCCCCGCGCTCCACGGGCCGGGGTCGGGCCGGGCCGGCCGTGCTCCCGGAGGGTCCTGCCCCGGAGCGCGGCTGTCGCTGCGCGCACATCCTCTGGAAGCGTTCTGCGGTTAGGAGAGCCTTTTTTTTTTTTTCCCTTTCCCGTTTTGGCTGTAACTTTCGCACACTGTTTCTGCAGTGCTCACATCTGTTTATGTCATCCTTGGAGCGTGGTACAGTGAATTTGGGATTGAAACGAAGTCGTAGAACTTATTGCTTGTTAATGTGGGTGCTTAAAGTGAGGCTGTGTTAATCCGTAGTTAGGCCTTTCTTGAAAGGTGGCCTGTTTTCTCCTAAGGCTTCAGCACCCAGCGCCTTCCAGGGAGATCCACGGGAATAGTGAGTGCTTAGCAGGTTGGGAAAAGACTTGTCTTTGTATTAAAAATGAAACCACGAGCCTTAGTGGGGTGCTCGTCTTGCAATAATTCTGCGTTTTTCTCTGTGAGAGCCCTCTTATTCTCTTCTAATAGTGTGTTATGTGGAGAGCGACTGGAAATCGCAAAGAACTTTGAAATAAGTAAAAACTTTGACGGAGCGCTGGCGATTAAATAACACAGGTCGTTAAAAGAATTAGTGGGGCGTCAATAAAATAATTTATTTGAAACGTGAATGAAAGCAGAATATCGCGGGCTAGTTAGTAACTCAGTGTAAGCCCGGAGAGGTTTAGGAGCGGCTGGATGCCACTGGGGCCGGAGCAGCCCTGCCCCGGGGCAGTGCGGCATCGTCCGCTCGTCCCGCGAGGCTGAGGAGAGAAAGGAAAATACACCTGGATCCTGACAGGGGACACCCCGCAGGGATCCGCGCAGGGCCTCACTCGCTTCCCACCTACGCCAATGGAAGTTTTGTCTTCCAGTTCATTAAAGTACAGTCGGGCCCTCCTCGTCGCCTCCATAGGGGCTTGTTTTTTTTTTCTTCTGGAAATCCTTATTGATGGATTCATGTGGTAAACATGGGTATAAAGTGGGCAATTAAAAAAAAACAACAGTAAAAGCACGAAATAAAATAGAATAAATTAAAATAACACAGAATAAAGTAACATAGAATAAAATGTCATAACATAAAATAAAAATAAACCAACCACAAACCCCACACCTCCTGAACTCTGCATTTTTTACTGCCTGTGAATAGGAAGATCAGTCCAAGCAAAAATACTGAAGTCTTGTTTTGGAAGTCTCTGTCGTAAATAGGTCTCATTAAAAAAAAAAAAATTCTGGTTAGGGGAAATGAATAGCTATCGCAGCTTTTTCACCTAAAATGCTCACTTCTTAAACTGGTGAGGTCATGTTTTAAATGTTCTGTGCGTCTGTAACCGCGTGTTACTGAGATCTTCAACATCTACGGTGTCAGCCAATATTTTAACTACAAAGTGGGATTTTTAGAAACGTATCGTGTGTTTCCTCCTAAGCACGGAGACATTGAGGGTCGGGGGAGTGTCCTGCCCTATTTTTTTGCCCCCGGCTCTCATTTTTTCGGCATCCACAGGCTTCCCTGGAAGATCCTGACAGTTTCGGGAAGGCTCTGTTACTTTCCAGTAATTTCCAGGTAAACTCCGATGTGGTCTCAATTATTTCCTGGATGCATATGTTTATTATTTAAAACTAATTGCAGCAAAGTAGCCCCTGATAGTAGAACGTTTACAATGTATAATGTTGATTAGCTTTTCACAGGGAGCTGTCGTCTGGATGCAAATTTTTTTCCTCCTCATTTTTACCACTGTTTCCAAATAATCCCGCGTCCTTCCAGTGGAAAAGCCAGGAGAGCGTCTTCTAAAATGTTATTTAACACGAAATAACGACGCGTTTGAACATCCACAAAGTACTGATTTCGTGCCTGCCCTCAGTCTATTACCTCAAATAACATCCCACGCTGTGTTCAGGGCAGGCGTTTGCTCTCCCGGCTCTTCCTGTGTCCTATTAATAGGACAAATCCGCCCGCGCATGACCCTTCCTACAAGAATTCGGCCACAGTTTGCTTTGACTTATAGCGGGCTGCAAAACGGATCCTTTAATTAAAAAAACACCAACACATTTTACCCTTTGAAAGCACTTGGATGGGGAGCTTGGGGTGCAAGAGTCGCACGCGTGTGCGCCTGCAAACCGGGGTAGGTGCGGAGCCTCGCCCGCCCCCTGACAACACAAATCTGCTGGCTTTTAGGAAATAAAGCGTGTTTAGTTTTGTGTGTTCTTCTTTTCTCAGTTTTGGTTGGTATGCAAAAAGGAGAGCAGCCGTCAGGGACTTGCTACTTATTTCCCCAAACTTTCTCAAGCGTTGGCAGGGCGGGAGGTGAAAGCACTTGAATAAAAAGCCTCTTCTTTTTTTTTTTTCTTTTTTTTTTTTTTAAGGAAAAAAAGCACGCGAACACTCAAAACCAAACAAAAATGTATTTTTTTAAAAAACCTCATTAAGAAAAAAAAATTAATAAAACACTTCTATGTTTTGTTTCTAGGGTAAATTGATCTATCACCGAGGGAGAAGCCCAGCGCCTCCTGCCCCCGTGGAAAGGGTGCCGAGAGGAAGAGCTGCAGCCCAACGTCGGCTGAAAACCCGGTAACATCATATACCAGCATAACATCAACCCAGGGCCCGACGGGGACCATCGCCCCCCTGGGCACCCCGCGGCCAAGAATCGGTACCTGCCAAAAAGTCAGGTCTCCTGGGAGGGGTTGGGAGATGCATTTGCTGGAAGAAATTAGGAATGAAGGAAAAACAGCTGGTAGAGATGAGCTGGAGAGCTCTGTGTGTGTGTCCCCAGTCAGCACGTCCTTTCTTCCCCCCCCGCCTCTTTTTTTAGGGGTTAAAACCAGAGTATGTTTGCTCAGCAGGTACCCGAAGGAGTGACCCTGACGTTCGCTCTCCCGTTTTGCTCTGTCGGCCCCTTTGCGTTTGTAGGTGGGCTTTGTGCGTTTGTTCCTCAGAAGTAGTTATTATTGCTGTTAGTGATTGTAGAGACGTAAAAAAGGACGTTAGAAAAAAGTGAATTCGTAGCCTGCTAGCAGAGAGCACCCCTCGCTCTCCTGGCAATTGAGATAAGGGTGTCGATTGGGGTTAGGGAGCATCCTCCAATTTTAAGGGAGAAGTGCTTGAAGTCAAGAATGCCTCCTCCCCCCCCCGCCTCGGCTTTTCCCTTCTAGTATTAAAGCCGTGTAGGAAGAAGACGTTTCTCCTCCGTGTCGTTTAGGCTAGCCCTCCCTTGGTAACTCCAGACGGGAGGGAAACAGGCGTGCATGGGTTTTTTAATTTATTTTTGGGTTTTTTAAAGATGTTTGTCACGCTGCAACCATTATTCCAAGGATCCTGAGAGGTTTTCATTCACTGCCCGGTTTTCAGGGCTCCTTTCTTCATATCGCAGCCAACCCAAATTGAGACTCAGGAGTGGAAATAAAGGGAAAAAAAATCAAGACAAAATAATGATAATAAAAATATGAAGCAACCTCCCCGCTTCCCTCCCTATCACCCCCAAACCAAGCTGCCCCCCCGAGCAAAATTCTCCTTGAGGAGGGCAGTTACTCCTCGTCCTGTCGGCACGTTTGACTCATTTTATTTGCCTGAACTTTGAACAAAGCTGGTTTCCAGAGGAAATTTCCACTCCTGCTGCCGCCTCGCACCAGAGGGCGCCGGGAGCCTTCCCAGGCTTTGCTGCCTCAAGCGCTGCTGGAAATTAACTCTTTGGGCGCTCTCTCTGAAGGCTTTTCTAACCTTTTCCTTTTAAAATACACAGCTAGATCCTAACTTTCCCCCCCCAGCTCTGTAAAATGCGTGTTGGTTTGTTTCGGTTTGGGTTTGTGAGGGTTTTTTCCCGCCCTTGTATTACCCTCTTCCAGGGCTTCACACTCCCGCCACAGCCCCCCATTACTCTCAGGAGAGTTCTCTCAAGAGAACCTTTTCCTGAGATCCAACCTGACACAGCTCCAACTTTGCTACAATTCAAAGAATTCTTCAAGAATAAGTAACCCAAAGAGCAAATACTGCAGGAAATTATAGAAGACTTTACCTGTAACTGGGGATTATAAACCCTCAACTTCAGCAAAAGTTTATACTCTGGCTCACCCTCTGAGACTCAGTTTTAGTGGCAATGCAGGCTGATTATTCATAGAAAAAAACCAGGCAATCTGTGGGTGAATATTTATTATTACTTTATTTATTTACTCTAGCAGTCTGTTTTCAAACAGCATAGAAGGACTATTTTCCAGAGCAGATAGTGACAGGACAAGGGGGAATGGATTCACACTGAGAGAGAGCAGGGTTAGACGGGATATTAGGAAGCTATTCACATATCACTTAAGGATCAGCAGAAATGCAAAATGCATGATCTGAAGATGTATTAAGAAATCTGAGGGGAAAAAACATAAGAACCAACAAAGAAAAACATTTTAATCCTGGGGGCTGGTGGAAAAACTCAGTTGAAGAGACATAGTGTTTGTCTTTGTGTTATTTAAATGGAAATAAGGATTTTTAATTTTTTTGTGACTGTTTCTTCATTTATGTCATTAATTTAGCATCTGTCAATCAAAAAAAAGGAAAATGCATCAAAGGCTGCTGAGTTTACCCAAAAAGAAATCCCTCTACGGGATGTGATTTCATCACTTCCTAGTTGATGTTGAGTTTTATCTGTCAAGTGTGTGTGTAAGGTGAGAATTCCAGTCTCAGAGCAAATAGGACAGTGTGCTGGATATTGAGAGACTGTGTTAAAGGGCAGCAGCAGCTTTCCCAGCCCAGCCCTGGCAGTGCCTGGTTATCCCGGTGTCCAGCGTGCTGTGCCTGAGGCAGCTCTGACCTTCAGAGCCCACCCTGCCACCTGCACAGGGTCTCAATGGACCTTCATGTCTGGCCATGGCACTGACTCACACCTGATAACTTGATTGATTTTTTTTTTGGGAGGAGGATAGGGGGCCTTTGGAGAGACTTCTTGACTCTTGGAACAACACAGGGGAAAAAAAATCGTGTTAAAAGGCATCTTGGCCCTTCTGCCATTTTCATTGAAGCTGACAGTAAAACCCTCTTTCACTTTACTGGGAACAGGACTGAGCCATTTAAAATGCTATTTTGTAATATAGATCTTTTAAGTCTTAAATATTTCCATACAGTGCAGCAAAGAAGTCTCAAACGTCATCAGAAAGACTGCTTCTTGTTAGGCTGTTACAATGTGCTATTTCTGTTCAAGTAACATCTACTAATATGAGAGACAAATACATTTGTACAGTTTGGGAGCCTGACACTGCAGTTGGGTGTTTGCAGCTTTTATATATTAGTGTATTTAGGACAGTAATTTTAACTCTTTGGTTGCATGAAACAAAGCCCAGATGTTTGTCAGCAGCGTTTCCTCATCAGGTCTGTTAGCTGAGCCTTTCTGGAGTGTAGTGTAGAGTTTGGTTACAGTTAAGCTCCAGTCAGAATATTCCAAGAGTATGAAGGGGTGATGTGGCCAGGCACGAGTAGGAAGGGGGAAGAGGGACACTGAAGGAGGAAACAATCTTCTCCTCCAGCTAAGCCAAGTCCCCACCCGTGGGACCGTGGAGAACTCTTAAGTTCTCATCTTTGGATCTTCTTCCCTCCTTGGCAGTGACTTTAAAAAGGATTAAGTGAGAGAACAGCAGCAGAAAAAGCCCTCAAAATACCATGCTCTGGGAGGGTCAGGGAGGTTGCCTTCTCCAGATGTACAGGGGCTCCAGGGTTCACATTTGAATCTCTCTGTGCTGAGTTGCTGTGATGTCCAAATACCACCATTTAACAGCAGTCCTCTGCCTACATTTGTGATACTTTCCAGTGCACTCTAGAGGAGTGAAATGTAAAAACTATGGTAGAACAGCCTCCTGTTTTGATGAAAAGTTGCCAGCAGTTATGACATAATTAACTTAACCAGCAAGGCAATAAAAATTAGGTGCCCTGTTTGTGAGTGATGCATATCTAATATTAAGGCTAAATTTCCTATAAGTTATACATTGAAACATTTTCCATTATGACATTCATTCAATTTTGTATTCAACAACATTGCTTCCTTTCCTGTGGAATCAACAACATTGATTCCTTTGGAATCCAACCAGAGGGCTGCAGTTGAGAGAGAAGCAGGGATCCACATCAGCAGAGGGTTGTGTTCCAGCAGTGGGACAGCTTTGGGAAGCCACTAAAAGCGTTCTATGTTGCATTTTTCTCTGACCTGACTTCACGTGAGTGATCAAATGAGAGGCCATTATTTTTTGTATTTCCAAGGAAGTAATATTTTTGCTACTTGTAAGTGACTATTTGTAATTTTTGCAATTACAGTAAGCACCTATCCAATCAATCTTGTTTTTTAAATCTCTTTTAGTCTCTTGAACAAATACGTTTACAAGAAAAATCAGGTTTGTTTAGAATCATGGAATGATTTAGATTGGAAGGGACTTTGAAGGTCATCTGGTCCAACATCCTGCTCAAAGCAGACCTAACCTACTAAGATGGGTTGGTTTTCTATTAATTTCTTTTTTTTTTTTTGTATTTCAATAGCAGTATTTTATGGCAATAGTTCTTGCTGAAGAGCTTGTTCTAAACCACTTTCCATTTACTAATTTCCCCTGTTAACTTTGCTGCTATAAATATTCCCTGTAGTCACCTTTGGAATCAACAATTCCTGTTCACAATTTATTCTCTTGCCACTTGCATTGACAATGGCAAAGAATAGAGACTAACCTAAATATGCAGAGTAAAATACAGTTTGGAAAATGGGCTTTATTATCCCATATTCTGAAGAATGACCATACCTCAGTCCAGGATTATTGCTTTGAAGCTAAAGGAAATTAAACCATTCTTCTACCTTTAGGCCCAAAAGCAAATGACTTCATTTCCGTGTATGTCCAGAGACAATGAGCTGCTGATCTATGATTCTTCTCAACTTATAGGACAGCTGAACAAAATGTACAAACTAAAGGCCTGGCTTTGCTCTCAGCTGTTCTGGTGTAATCCAAGCTCAACTTCTCTGGTGTTAATGAATTTATTCCAATCTTACTGTGCTGTGATCAAACCAGAATATATTGTATAGTTTGCATGAAAGAATTGGGCCATTTTCTTCTGTTTTCAGATGATGAGCTGTCTGTTAGTTGGTCTGCAGCCTCCCTTTCTCACCCTTTCCCTATTCTATAATTTATAAAAAATATGTATTTGCAAAAGAACAACGACAAACTCCACCTGAAAAACTGTGTTACACAGTCTTGCAAACTCTTGTTTTTTTAAAGAGAAGCCCCCTGCAGATCATGAAACCTGGGAAGGATCCTGTGGAGGATTTGGTCATGTTTAGAAAGCATCCAGAGTAGCTATGACAACTTCATGTCCCGGGGCCAAGATCGTGTCCACATACCAAATCTGTGACACTATGCAAGATCCTTATCCAACCTAAAGAGGAAACTGTAAAATTAGAATTGCCTAAAATAACCCCTAGAGAGACTATTGCCGGTTCTTGAGAAGATTTTTTTTTTTGACATCTCAAATACAGCTTTTTCTTAAAATGTCTGAAACAGGAAACTTGTGAAAGAAAAGAAAATAATGAAATGAATAAGGTGTCCACAACCCTGGAAAAACAGGTTCCCAGCTAGGTCCTTTTTTTGTTATTTACTGTGATTTCTTTAACCTTCTTTGATCAGTTAAACAGACTTGGAGTGTTATAGAAGCCTCTGAAATATGTCAATATAATTTTCTTGGGTTTATATTTGAAATGGGAGTGGTATCCAAGGTGGGTTTCAGCTCCCTCTGCTCTGGATGAGCTGGAATTAATGCTGAGTGCAGCAAGGGAGGCTGATCTCAGCACAGGGAGGTGATCAGGGTCTGATCCATTACCTGGGCCAGGCACTTCAGATGCTGACTGTATTTTTGTGATAGTACATGTGGAAGTGAAGCATTCCAACTGATAGAAATCTGCTTTTCCATGCTATGAATATGTTGGCTGCAGCACCTGCAGCCTGTGCTTTCTGGTAAAAGCTGAGCTCTGTGTTAATTCTCTTAGTTATTGATTGGTAATATTGTTTCTGCTTCCTGTCTCTGCCCGAGATTTTTACATCCTGCCTGTAGTTGATCCCTTCCTGTTTCTCTGGATATGGCAAGGTTCTGCAAAGCAGGTTTTTATAAAGGAAGAGAGACCTGCAAAATGCATTACTAAAGGTACTGATTTAAAAAAACAGGTGCATAAATGATGTTTGGGTTTAAGTAGCCAGGATGAGGTTTTGAACATTGGCTCAGGCAGAACCAAACTCAAACATTTTAATAAAGCCATATTAACATAACTGCCTTATGCAAAATATTTCTGGCTGCTTTTTATGAAAGTAAACAGAAAGAGTGATATATCTGGATAAAGAGGAGCAGATGGTAATTTTCATTATTCCTCCCTTCCCCTCTCCTTTTACTTGCATCCCAGTGAGGGAGAACTAAAAGACAAAATCTCCACTTTAGTGAATTTGGAACAGAAACTTCAAAATAGATATCCCAACTTATGCCTTAACATTTGCCCTGTGGGGTCATGCTCTTGAACGCTCTTCATCCACTGGATTAATAAGGCCAAAGGATTTTTGTCACTGAAAAAAAAATGTTCAGATTTTACATGAGTTAAGGACTGCTTTGATTAGTGAAAACTCATTTTCAGTGTCTAAGTTCTCATCCAGGAAGAACTCTCCACTGTGATAATGGTTATCTGCAAGTCAGTTTTAACTTGGCACCCTTCACGTTTGGCAGCAGATTTTAGCTTTACATAACACTGAGTTATTATTAATGTACCATATTGCAGATCTTATGAAGGAATCTAGTTTTCAAGTGTTGGGTTTTTTTTTAAGTCAGGAAATGCTACAGATAGGCTTTTTACAGGCATGTCACTTTATGCTCTCCATGTCCTGTGCATTTCATTATATTTCCCTTAAAATAACAATCCTTAGGTTAGTGCACGTTTGGTAATCAAAGCCATGTATAATACCGCCCAAATACAAAAGGTTTCACTCCATGTTTCAAGATCTTTTTCATTCTCCACATTTATAATGTGACCCCTGTTAATATTGCATTGGCACTGGTGGGTTTTTCTTATTTGACACAAGTCTAAGGATGTCTGAGTGGTCCTGGTTCAAGGTCTCTGTCACATGAGGTACAGAATTTCTCTCAGTAAAGATTGCTTTGTTTTTAAACTCAAGTGAATCAGAAAAAATACCTGTAAAAGGCTAAAAAGTGTTTAAGGGTAGTGGAGGATGCACTTGGTGACAGCAGTTCATACAGGGGTGGGTAAAGTGGTGTGAGCCTGGCATGTATATAGGGATGGCACTTAGTAATTGCTTATTCTCTTTGCCTTTTTTGTTGACTGATGTTTTTATCTGGCTCTCTGGAGTGAGGTATGCTGGATGTACTGTGGCTTTCCAAAAGGAAATACTGAAGTAACCCACACGGAGCCATAAGGAAAATAAACTGTCATTTCTAACACATGGCACATGAAGAAAAGCCCTTTCACATCACTTTGTTTCCTGCTCAAAGCTGTTTCTCAAACTGTGTAAGATCTCCAGCTCACATTATTGTTCTCAGGGGCTTCATACAAGAAGGGCTTTTTTTGTCTAGCCAGGCTAATGAGGTCCTATAGCAAAAAGATACACAATATCAGTAAGGAAACAGCTAATCTGACGTTAATGTTCAGTGTGTTCATTCATTTCTAAATGCATATTAATTTGGTGTAACTTTTCTGTCCTTGTACTAGAATAGAAAGTAGGATATCTGTGAGTACAGTAATTAAACAAGTCAACTAAACCCCATTTTTACAAAAGGCTTGGCATGGCCATGTTCCCTGCTTTCCAAAACTGGGGTGGGTTCTGCTCTGTGTGCATCACCAGCCCGTGTCCCTCTCACAGCAGCCTTGTTAGTGCAGCAGTCGAGCACTGCTGTCCCAGGAAAAGCCATCATGCATTGCTGGTGTTCCTGGGATCCATCAGCATTGCCAGCCTCCCACCTCCTTTGGGAGGACACAAAATAAGGGTTTTGTAGCTGGAGTTGAGGGATGAGACATCCTATGGCTACATGCAGAGGTAATGGAGCCTTTTAGGTCAGAGACGTCGCAGATGTTTCTTTTAGGCCCACATTAGAAACTTTTGCTCATACACTGATGTCAGACTGGGTCTGAAAAAACATGAATCCCACCTGCCCGGTGGAGCTGAGCCAGCACAGTTCCTGGTGTGGACACAGCTGTGCTGCCAGGAAAAGGCTGCTGCCAGATTAACCTGTTGGGTTCAGAGCCTGATGCAACTCCAGTGACACAAAAGCCCCTCTGGCAGTGCCCTTCCTGCTGCAGAGCTCTGCTGTGTGACACTCACAGGGACTGGGACTGCAGACAGAGGCTCCTCAGGGCAGCAGCTGAGATGGGCCTGGTGTGAGAACAAAGGGGACAAAGACACAAAGTGTTTGAGAACACAGCAAGAGTCACTGGCAGGTCTGGTAGGAGATGTCCCTTTTGACTGCAGGAGCCCCTTTGAAAGCTTCCCACTCCATAAATCTGTTTTTTCCCCCCCTGGAAGCCACATTTCCTGTGTGTGCCAGTTTGCACTGGCTGCAGGAACATCTGCTGATGGGACTGGGTTTGCTTTGCTTAGAAACACCCAGCATTTATTGCCCTTGCACTGGCAGCTAAATGCTGAAGGGTCTGTCCCAGGAGGACTGTTCTGCATAGCAGAGAGGAGCTGGGTCTTCAGCCAGATCCTAGTGGAACTGGAAATGCCTCTGGTTCTCAGCAGATCCTACAGTAAGAACTCTCTCTGCCTGCTTCCCAGTCCCAGCAAAAGAACTGCACAAACCCATAACCCAGCAGTATATCAGGTTCTAAGTATTTCTTCTGTCGTCACGTGCATCTGCCTTAGGTTATCAGCAAACCACAGGGAATTACACCAGCCAGGAAATATTCAGAGGTCAGCCCAGGATCAGTGTGAGTGACAGGTGATGATGGGGTTTTTATTAGGCTTTCTGTCTCTGGTACCTGTTGGTGTAGGAACGGTTGAGTTCCTGGGAGCCAGCAGCTCCAGGACCCTTTAGTCTATGGGGGCTTGTTTCATTACTCTTTCTTCCTGAGATGAACATGAGAAAGCTTGGATGGGTTGCAGCAGTGGCAGAGAAACATGACTGTGATGCTCTTTGACCAAAATCAATTGTCCAAAGCACTTCAGCATGGAAAAAATGTCACTGGACGACGAAAACAACAGGAGTTAGTGGAGTGAAGCTGCTGGAGAGGTGATTGTTCACTGTTTTTGCAGTATGAGAAGTAGGGGGCATCAAGTAGAGTTTAAATTACTCAATACTTAAAAAAATCTCAGGTTCCTGAGATAAATGGTTGTTTCAATGACAGTATTAGAATTAAGTTTGGTCGAATATCAGGAACTAGTCACGCTAGTTATTGACACTGTTATCAAAGAGATTTGATAATGTAGCTATTTGAAATCCGTATCTTATAAGTGTGAAGTTCTGGCACAATTGGAATGAGAGTATAGGTGAGTCAAGCACAGTAATTTTGACCAAACTGTAGGCTACAGAAAGTTAGCAGTTTTCTATTCCAACCAAAGACAAAAAAATGTAATAATCCAAGTATCAGAACTTCTAAACTAATTTTCCGAAAAATCAGGTGCTTCAGAACAACATCCAAGTGCTAAGATCCAGCAATGGAACGGAACATGTCAGCGGTTGTGTTTGTTGGGCAGAGCCTGGCAGGGCAGCAGGCACGCCTGTCCTGAGAGCAGTGCTTGGCAAGGGGCAGGGCACAACCCCTGCATTCCCACCGTGGGCACAGCCCAGCACCAGCCTGGGGACAATGGCAGAGCTCCTGCAGGCTCGGAGAGGCAGGAACCAACCACACCACAATGGCAAACAGACTTTTTCCGAGCTAGAAAAGCCTTTGCCCCCGAGTATTTTTAACCCGCGTATTTCAGAGCATGTCAGACAATTGATCAGCAATCTGCTGCTGCAGTGATGTATTTATCTGATGCGTGGTTTCACTTAGCAGCTACAACACGTACAGCAGAGAACTGAAAAAAATGAACTGGAACTCTATGCAACAACTCTTATTCAAAACAGATGTATTACTTGGTATATGTTTAACATTCTCCTCATAATCCCAACTTGATCCTTAACCATCATGCATTAGAGTGTTGCTTTTAAAGAAGATGAAAATGGGCTGCTAAAATGCTGCCCATATAATCTGAATTATTTTCAGCCCTGTTGTTAAAGCTTAGAGATAAAATTCTCTTTTGAACTAAGGTTGAAGGCATCGTGTTTGATATATTGGTATAATTCCTGCAATATAAATACTCATAAATTAAGTTAGTGGTATGGTATGATTTCCTGTAATCTGTTTCCGGAATCAATATTTTATTGAATGAACTTCTTATTTTAACTTCTCACTTACTGACCCAGTGGCGCAGCTGTAACGTGTGCTTGATCACTCACTCTTTTAAAATCAGGTCTGACTATGCAGCAGTGGAGATGGGGCACGGTTTTGGAAGAATTGCACTTAATAATGTGTGGATAGAGATTGAAAATAGCACCATCACACCCTAATGTAGATTCTCCCATCTTAACATCCTGTAGTACTTTAGAAAACGGCCATGTAATATAATCCCCATTTTATGGGCAGGAAAACTGAAGCCATGATTATTTCCTTCTTAAAGGATGCTTAACTTTAAGCACCTCCTATAACATCTACTTTTGTAAATGTGGATTTTGTTTTCAAGAATCCTTTATACATAGCAATTATCATTCAGCTAATTACCCCAGATTTATTGCAAGCCTGTGCCAGTGAGTGTGTGACCTCATGCAGAGCAAAAGGCTGTTTGTGCTGAGCAGGTGGAACTGTAGCACCCGTTGTGCTGTGCTGGGGGTGTTGACAAAGGCAGCAGCAGATGAAGATGCTCTGCAGTCCTTTGGGGGTGGTCCGTTGGCACTTCTTTGGGGCAATGCACAGTTCCTGTGCCGTGTCCTTCTCAGGAACACAAAAACTGCCAGTAATCATCATCAGTCCATGCAGGGAGACCTGGGTTCCTGCAGCACAACCTGTGGCTGCACCTCTAAGCTGCATAGCCAAGAATGTGATGATTTCCCTCTCCTCAAACGGTTCCTCGCTCCCTCTTTTCTCTGCCCTTGCTTGTTCTGTGTCTGTGCTTTATAGGCTACACCACATTTAAACACACAGTGATCCCACTGCGGGTTTTGGGGGCGGAGGAGGGAATGTAGGAGTACTAACAGAACAATTGCTCTTTTTGTGGTGACCAGAGCAACTGTATTCGATGAAACTGCTTTTTTTTATCAGTGTTTAAAAAGTATTTTCTGATGTGGTAAAAACTGTTATTTGGATGGAGTTCAAGAAGGTGGAGGGCATGTGAAAGTTTATTTTATAAAGGGAAAACTGGATTGTTTTGTAGTTCGGGGTTCTGTACCTAAAATGTCCCTGCAGATTAAATTTCCAAGTTCTTTGTTCTCAGACACTTTGTTTCAGATGGGCAAATGGAGAATGAACAATAAGGTTTAAGTGGATGCCTTCATAGATGCAGTCTGAGTACTCTGATTTACACACCATGGTCTGTAGGTTGATGATGCCACCATAAGACTCCAAGACCTCATAAGTCTAATCCTGAGAAATCCCCTGTAGCCAGTGCATACTGACTTCATATGAGGAGATATGAACCTGCCATCCAGCTTCAGTTTCCTCTGTAGATTAGTCCAGGACATCATTCTGGATGTTTCTAAGAAGTGTAACTGGTGTCATTCTCCAGTGGAGTTTAAAATGGAATTTAGGAGATCTGATATTCCCAGGGCAGCCATGTAGTGCTGCAGCAGGAGGGAAGCAGACCTCCAAAACAGGCCACTGTATGAAAAGAGCAAGGAAAAGCCCAGTCCTGGAAAATGCACTGGCACTACAAAAAAGTGTGGAAGTCTGGGGAAACAATGAATTGGAGCTGAATAATATTGTATCAGTCCTGTATGTTTTTAATAAGTAGTTGGAAGGTCTTCCGTGAGGAGTTTCTGTTCAATTTTATCTCAGTCAGGGATAGAAGTTGTTCCTTTGGTCCCATAAAGAGCTGAACTTCCTGAGCAGGCACATATTGGAAGTTCTGTTACATTGGCATAGGAAGCTAATTTTTTTTTGTAAAACATTTCACATTTATGTTCTCCCAGAATTAAAGGTGTAGGGCCTGCTCCAGAGCCCTCTGCAGTCACTGATATCCTCACACTGATCTCTGGGAGCTTTAGGGCTCTCCTTTGGAGCTCCTTTTTTTTCCCCCCCTCCAGTTAGCTGCCATTTATATAATGGAGTTAAAAATTCGGGGAACTCAAAGCACATGAAGAATTTGCAGTTTGGGATAGGAAGGGAAGGATTCTGCATCCAACAAAACCAACCCCTGTCTTCCCTGCTACTTCCTGCTGAGCATGAGGAGAGTTTTCCAGCTCTGGGTGGGACTGACAGCTCACTGCCGGGTTCCTGCTGCTCCTGGGAAACCACCATTCATCCAGCCTGCAATCTGCAGAATAAAGGAACCAGATAATCAGTGACACTCTCCTCTATCCATATTTAAACATTTATGGCATAGATGTTGACAGATGATCTCACCATCTAAACTCCCTTTGTAGTTGACGGAAGGACAAAGACACTTCTGTCTCATATTTTTGCAAATAAACAAATGGATATACACATATACAAATGTAAAGACTCACAAAGGTTAATTTAAATGGTATCATGACAAAACTTGAAGAAGAGAATGAGACATTCTT